ATATATATATACATATACATACATATACATATATACATACATACATACATATATATATATATATATATATACATATATATATATACACACACACATACATTCCGTATATGTATATGGGTCATTGACAAATAAGGCTTCTAAAAAGGTCATTTTTAAAATTATCTTCAAAATGGATGTAATGCATATTTTTGTGTCTGGAACAATGTGGTGAAACAAGTCTAAGTTGTGAACCAACTTTTCATAGTATTTTAAATAGTTAACAGTATTTTTTAACTTCACAGGCTAAAAAATGTCAGGTGGCGCAACCACATATTTATAAAAAACATATATATATATTTTCCTTATATTTATTCAAACTGAAATTTCTGACAAGTATCCCTTAGAGTGTCTACTGTGTCTAATACATCGTATTTTGTGGTTGTGTTTTATATATATACAATAATTTATCATATTTAGTTTATTGGCAGGTATTTAGTGTATTTAACTTTTGATTTTACATTTAAACAGAGAAACATAATAATACAAATATACAAATGAATACATTCAATAAAATAGTTCACATCATATTAAGCAAAAAGAAATTCACTTTAACCTTTTATTTATTGCTTTAAATTAATATTTTACCTGGTCGCACCACCATGACATTTATCAGTTGTGCCACCTGACAATATTAGTAATCACAGCAAATATGCAGAAAAGACATTTATGATAAAATAACATTTTCTAGTTTTACATTGGTTGTACCGCCCTGACATGGAAAGTGAACCACTCTACCTATAAGTTGAAAGTAGCTGTTTCAATCAATATTCAAAAGAGATATAAAAACTTTTTCACTCTGCTATAAAGGTCAGTTGAGGTCCTCTTGATGATGCAATATCCTGTTTACTGGTTTCCACTTTCATTTCATAATAAAAGTCCCATCTTTACAGCTGTGCCACCCTGATATTTGAGAACATTCAAATTGCTGGACAAAAGTTTTTAAATTATCGCAACAGCTTAAAACTATTGGTATTTGTAAAAATGTGGTTTATTTGAATCGTTACAACAATAAAAGAATGCCATAGTATTTTATTTTGAATTTATTATCATTTAAATACCTTTTTTAATAGTTTTCTTAGACTGTTCATCTGCTAGGACAGGTGCACCGCCTGACATTTACAGGGTTTGAGATGCCAAAACATAAAATCAACCAGAGCAGATTAGTGTGGATGCTGCTGACCAGAGCTCTGAAATTAAACAGCCGTCAGATGATCAACACTAACCGCTCAGAGGCCTCCAGTCCTCTTCTTCTCCGTCAGAGTTTATCAAACCGCTCACGTCTCCTTCCTCCTCTCCTCCCTCCTCTTCTCCTTCCTCCTCCTCTCCTTCCTCCTCCTCCTCCGTCTTCAGCGAGGTGTCCTGGTCACCGTGGCTAGGGTTACCACCAGGTAGAGGTCTGGTAGAAAGGTCCTCTGAGTCCTGGAGACAGAAGAAAAACAATCTCAAGTTAGCTCCTCTGATGACGACGACGACGACGACGACGACGACGACTCATGTCTTACCTTCTCGTTCACAACTTCCTGTTCATTTTCAGTCTTTATGTTGAGCCAGAACTCCTAAACAGATTTTAACATTCTTTAACATTTGTATTTTAGTTTTTCATCATGAGATTATGATTACTAATTAAAAATATCAACAAAACTCACTAACATGACCAGTCTGAGCAGAATAAAACTAAAGTATCTAAACTCACCTTTCCAGCAGTAAGCCGCTCGTTGCCCTCAGCGTGTGTCTGCAGGTGCTTCCTGAGCAGGCCGGGCCGGTTGAAGCTCTTGCTGCACAGCGAGCAGCGGTGAGGCTTCTGTCCTGTGTGGAGCCTCTCGTGGTCCCTGAAGGAGGACGCCGTGGAGAAGACCTTGTCGCAGAAGGAGCAGCGGTGGAGGTTCCCCTCCGCGTGGGTCTTCTGGTGGCCGGAGAACCCGGTCCTGGAGGCGAAGCTCTTGGGGCACAGTGGGCAGCGGTAGGGCCTCTCTCCGGTGTGCGTCCGCTCGTGTTGGACCAGGTGGCGCCGCTGGAAGAAGCCGCGGCCGCACGCCGAGCACACATGCGGCTTCTCAGCTGCGTGCCGGAGCTGGTGCCTGCGCAGGCAGCCCGGCTGGGCGTAGCTCGCCCCACAGTCCGGGCAACGGTACGGCTTCTCTCCGGTGTGAACCCGCTGGTGCGTCGCCACATTCACCTTCTTGGTGAAGCGCTTCCCGCACACGGAGCAGCTGTACGGTTTCACTCCAGAGTGAGAGTTCATGTGGTCGGCCAGCCGGGACGGGCGGGAAAACACCCGGCCACATTCCAAACAGCTATGACGCCGCTTTGACTGACGGCCGCTCCGCTTCAGTGCCGCTCCGCCTGCAGACAACGACAAAGGGGTTAACTAACCCATATCTGAACCATATTATCAATCAGATGTGACCATATTATATTACTGCTGGTTTCATTTGATCAAAGAGTAAAAACTACGTTCACATAGAAACAGTGTTTTTAAAGTTGGGCAATGAGTTGACCTCTGACCTTCAGCAGGACGTTGATGACACTCCTCCTCGCTTTGGTCTGTTTCCACTTTCACTGAGTTCATCTCATCGTCTGCTCCTTCTCCTCAGCCTGTGAGACAAGACAAAGGGAGTGAGGACACGCCTTCTAATCAGCCTGTGAGACAAGACAAATGGAGTGAGGACACGTTTCCTCTCAGCCTGTGAGACAAGACAAAGGGAGTGAGGACACGCCTCCCTTTCAGCCTGTGAGACAAGACAACAGTCAAACTTTATCAGGAGCCTCTACTGAGGTAAAAGTATTAGTACCACACTGAGGTACTAATACCACACTGACAGTGTGACTCTGTACACTATTTTTCATTGTTTACTAATACTAATAAATAATAATTAGTAATACAAAATGATTAATATTTTCACAAGTAAACATATTTCAGAAAGAAACTAATCAGATAAATGAAACAGAAATACTACAGTTAAGTAGAAGTACTTGTACTTCAGTACAGTGACGTTGCTGTCAGTTAGTGACGTCACACTGGTTGATTATTGATTAAACGAGCTCAAACGGTTCCGTTACTCCGCTGGTCTCGTTACTCTTTGTTCATCGCTGCGTTTAGCAGCGTCTCAGCCAATCAGAAGAGAGGAGAGCCGTAACATCAATAAACACCGAGCACGTCTTTAGCTAATAGCTAAGCTAGCTTTAGCTTTCTAACCGTAAACTAACACCGTTACCGTTCACGGAAACACACAAACACGTACCGGTACTGTCGTGTTCAGAGGAATGACTTCACGGTGAACCGAGCCGTTAAAAAAAAGTCCTGACAATATGAACGAAGTGTGAGAATCCTCCTGGAGCAGAAGAGTGACGTGACTTCAGCTTCGGCTAGCTTTGCTAGCTGTGTTAGCATTAGCTCCGATGGAGCCGTCATTCACCCTGAACGGCTGCTTGACACCTTCACAGGAACGTGAAGGCGGACCGAGGGTCTCCGCTACAGAGGACTTCCTGTTTGCGTCACCAACTGATCCTGCCCCCCCCCCCCCTTTGCTGCTCCCGTACCGAGAATGCCCTCAGCAGGATTATATACACACACACACATTATTTATATATATATATACATATATATATATACA